CTAACAAACTGTTTTGAAAAATAATTGAACAACAGTAGTCTATATCGCGCATATAGATAATCACGCTAAAGTTAGGCGAACAATTAGATTATCGTCGCGATAGTGTGAATGAAGAACGATTATGCGCTCTTCTGGGAAACGGAAAGAACGCGCAGGATTATGCAATTCACGTTCGGGAATTCGCAGGATTGAAGAAAATTACGCCGGCTCAATGCGAGGCACGCCGCGCCGTAACGCTTTAATGACATTGGCGGACCGTACATCACGATCGAGGAATCGCTACAATGCTCATCGTAGCATTGATTATTGTTGAAATCACACTGATTGATCCTCGTCTTTCATCTTTCGCAATGATTTCTAACAATGACGCTAATAAATCACGCGCGCATTACTGGGCGAGCAAAAAAAGAAGATGCATCTCCGGAAAGATCAAATTCTGAAGCAATTTTCAGATGCCTTGTATACAAAGTGACTCGTTAACTTTAATATTGCTTTTATTCTTAAGAATATTTAGTTTTAAACATATTTTTTTTAGTTAAATGAAGATGCTCGCGAAAGAAAATTAAGCAAACTATATTAACTGCATATTGATTTTATATGATAGTCGTGATATGTAGCAGCAGGAACTGTTTGTTTAAGTTTCGATCAGTGGAAAATATATCTCCCCTAGAATTATTATTTACCTACATGAGGTATGGAAAAATTTAATTTAATCAGCTTAGGTTGCTGTGCAAATATATCGTGCACATGCCACTTATGAATTATATCTCGCACGATCATCTGTCTGGCCGGTCTGATTAATTGCGCTTGCGATTTACAGCGTTGCGAAAGTGTGACAGTAGTCGATATAGAGGAATACCATTCCTCAGGGTTGTAATCATTTTGTTAAGTAAATCTTTAATTTTCATTTATAATGAATGATAAAAATCTTATCCTAACAACTACTCTGGATTTTTTCTTATCCACGCCATTTTTATATGACAATTTAATATTGCCTTCAAGTCAGTCTGCATGCGCAGAGATGGACATTATTCGAATAAAGTTTTATCTAGTTCGCTATTCAATTAAAATTTTATTTGTTATTTGTATTATCCATTACTTATATACTATAAATAATTGTTATTTGTTTAAATTATTATTATATTAACAAATTTTTTTCTTCGTCAGTGAAAAAATTAACAAGCGTTATTATTATATTATTTGACAATATAGTGTAATAATATTATTCATAATGTTATTCATACGATAGTATATATATTATTCGTACAAACAATGAATAACTAGTATACATTATTCAAATAATTATTTAGATAAGAATTTATTTAAATTAGCGTTTAGTTGAATAAATTGTTAACCGAATAAGACTTTATTTGTTATTTATGAATAAATTATACTTTGTTTTTTTTTTATTATTCAAATAAAATTTTGCCCATTTTTGTAGGTCTGAATGACTCTTGAATATAATAAAATTGGAAAAAAATAATTATGAATTAAACCTCCCCGAACAAACTTTGAGATCAACAATTATATTAATATTAAAATTTATGTTGAATTTTAAATGTTAAAAAGTTTGATGTCAGACTGTGCAAACTGTCAAATACATAGGAAACTTGCGTGTATGTAATTAAAATAAATTTATATACAGTTTTATATAAATAAGTAAAGTTTCAAATTAATTTGTTTATGGAATAGTTTAATGTAAGTTGATATAAATTCAAACTGTTAAAACAACGTTTGCTATATTTATTTTAATATCCGGTTTAATTATATATCGCTATATTTAACATTAATAATTAAAGAATCACCAAAACGTTTAAACAAATTTTTGTTAAAGAAAAATTTACTTTGCATTGTTCAAGGAATTTATTCGCGAAATAAATCTCGTATGTTACGATACAGTGTGTATAACAAAACGATGCGTAGTAAGGATAATAATTGAATGTCGGAAATTGTTGGATCTTGACAAGCAATCGTTTGTATTTCGAAACAAAAAGTAAGTACTGTGAGAAATCTCGACTACCCCAGACTGACGTTACTATAATTTTTTTACAATTGTTCATACATATCGGCGAAGTTCTTTTAAAATTTGTGAAATTACCTTTATTATCGTAATTCTGAAAAGTGTGTTATAAAATTAATTTATTTTTTAATTAATTTAATTTAAATTAATTACATACGGTATGCCAGGCAATTTTTTTGCACAGCTGTTAAAATAACAAAAGCTGATTCATCATGCGCAAATGCGAATGGATTTCACGAAAGATTTTAAATTTTAATTCGCGGCGCGTCAAATTCCTTGTTTATTCGTTTCATTATAAATGCATAAAACTTAATTGCGTCACGTTCCCAGAAAACTCATAAAATAGATTTTGCGTGACAAAACTGTAATTTCGCATCTACCTTAAAATAAAAAGATTTATCTGACTCGATTCTTTTCTTCACGGAAATTCTTCGTCTTTGTTGAAGGATCCTGTCAGCCTGTCTAAGAATAATCTTGATGAAATAATTAATAGCATTTCTCGGCGTGGAGAGAATAATAACGGAATGAGAGATTAGAGTAATACGCGATTATAAGGAACACCTTTCTGTTGCACAAAACGATGAATCGACAGCGCGTAAACACACAACATCATCAGATTATCGCGGTGATTATCGAGATCGTTAGGGTGCAATTTTTCGAACGCATAACATTAATAGTCAATGGTAATCGCGCGTGCAGAAGCCGCCGCCGCGAGCTAGTCGTTGATCACTGTAATAGTCGACGCATAGAAAATGAGGCACGCCAACGACGCAGCGGAATGCAAAATTTTCCGCTTCGCGCACAACTCGCCGTTTCCGGTCAAACACGATCAAGATCGCTTTGTAAAGTAAAATTAATTTTCCGGAAACTTAATTTGAGAAAAAACGAGAATGAATTAAGAGAATGCACAAATTCCGCGAAATTTTAAATAAATTCAACAATTTTTACATAATTTTAAAGATTTCGCTAATCATCGATACTTGTATAAAATGCAATGCAAAATTCTTCATCGAATATTGAATTAATTTATCGTGTTTTTGAGAATTCGACAAAAATATGGGTAAAATAAAAAACTGTAAACTGCGTTTCAGGAAAACAAGTGTCGCGTTTTACGCAATAAGTATAACTGATAATTTGTATTGATTATTCTTGATAATTAAAGTGCCACGCAAATGTTTCGTAACATGCTAGTTTCGCCTGAAGTCTCTTCGCCGATAGTAATTTCGCGGAGAATAACTTGAAATAAATAACAAACAAAGGAAATAAAGAATTTAATAAATAAAATTTATTGAATTTTATTTTATTGAAAAATTAAATTTCCATTTTTCGCGTATTTTGGAAAATGCAATAATAAGCTATGAATTTTTTACATTTTATTAATTTTTAACATAATTTAATATAATGCGACACGCGTTGCAAATTTAAATTTGCCGTTAAATATTCACAATTGCAAATTTATTGAACCACAATTATTCAGAAATTTTATTTTATATATATATATATATATATATATATATATATATATATATATAAAGAATAAAAATAAATTACATTAAATTATAATAGTGAACGAGTTTCGAGCTGCGTTCTTTTCATGAGTTGCACGTAAGTCGCGATCTGTCGAGAGCGATTTAAAGCGCTGCAAAATTAAACGTGCGTAGCACTGATACAGCTATGCCTGCCCGTCGATAAAATAGGAATTTATTGTGATCAGTAAATAAGCAATTTAGCCAAAAATATTGCAATAAAATATTAAAAAATCAATTAATTAATATTTATATTATTATTGTATTAAAACGTTCGATGTAAAAGTACTTTTAATAACGCCTGTAAAACTTTGAAGTATCTTACAAGTGATAAAGTTGCAATTTCTCATCGCCGTAGATAAGAATATAACGATAAAAAGATTTTTATGTTAAAATAAAAAAATAATATTATTGATATATTATATAATATAATAAATACTATATTAATTTTGTCCAATAGATACATCGGTTGTAAAAAATTTTTATTTGTGTATCAATAATTTAACACACAAATTCGAAGTAAAAGGATTAAGAACTAAGATCGTAGCGAATTATATATTTACGCTGCGTTACGCCGTTTTTATATGTTTAACCCTGGATTTCCTCGAGAGTTGGCGAACTTAATTGAACGGAAAATCGCCTCGTAATCCCTTTCTCAAAACACGACAGGCCATTTAATTATATGTAATTGCATAACGATATGCAGCGATGCATTCATGCAGATACGTCAGCGTCGGACGCAGTGCAAGATATCCCTGCCGGAAACGCATTCTTCTGTGTTTTCATATATTTATGCACGTAAATGATTCGAAGAACTTCCGCGGGATTGATCAATGATACGAGTTCCTTCAGAAAAACCTCACGAAGCGTATCGGGTCGAGGTTTACCTATTAAATCGGTAACTCATCCGTAAAATTCGTATCGATTCAAAAACATAGAATTATCCATGAAACCGCCTTATTTATCGCAAAAGAAGTAAAAGAATATAAATTAAAATAAATAATTGAATTTGAATCTTCAAGAAATGTATCGGAAATATATCTATTTTGTGTTCGCATTAACACGTTCCGCGCCGGACTAACGTGATACTAACTTTTGTTCTCGACACCGCGTGGGTCACTATAGTGACCCTCGCAGCATGTTCATTATAGTTGTTAAATAAATTGTATTCCATAATAATTACAAAACTATAAAAATTATTATTATTAGAAAAAGATCTAAAACAAAATGCAATGTAAAAGAAAGCAAATATTTTTATTGAACATTTATTTAATATTAACATTTAATATTAAAATACTTGTTAATAATCAAAAAGCTAAAATGTCACGGTTTGAACGAAAAGTTTAGCGTGAGTCACCGATGACCCATGCGGCACAGAACGTGTTAAAATACAAGTTTCTTTTTTCCATTCTCTGTGGAAAATTAAATATGAAAGGATATTGCAGTGGACTCACGTCGATGCCGTCGCTCGGGACTCCCTTCAGCCACCTTAGGTATCGACGATGCATGACGCTGCGCTCGGTCATTTTCCACGTACCCTTCGGGAAACACCGTGGAAACGTTCATTCCGTGTTTCTGGAATCGCAGGATTTAATTATAATCATTATCCTTAATCCTTGAATCAACAGTTCCTCTTATTCATCTCCTCTATTCATATTCTTCGAATATTTCAAGCGTCATTCCTTTCCCAGGATACAGAGATTTTTTAATAAAAAGATTTAATTAAGAAAAATTTGTCTAGATCAGAGATATGCAAATATTGCACGCCTCATTATCTATTATATACGTCATTACCATTTTTTTACTCGTATGACCCATTAACTCAAAGTTGCCCCTTTTCATATTGCGATGCGAAACGTTACACAAATGCGAAACGATATAAATTAATAAAGGCACTTATTGCGTGCAAATTTGCAAGTGGAAATTTGAACATGGAGCGACATAACGATCTCGACTATTTCGCGAGATCTCTCGCGACGTAACTGCATTCTTTATTGAGTTCCCGATCGTATTAGAGTGCTTGCTAATTCGTCGTCTAAATTCGACTTCGTTAGCGTTTCTTAGTCAACTTTGTCATTGACCATGAGTACACAAGATTGACGAAGAATATTAAAAGATTCTTTATACTAAAGTAGAAAATAATAAATTATAATTATAGAAAAAATATTGTCCGTGTTTTTATTATTTGTCACTTTAAAAATGATGTGTATTTTATTATTCAATTAAAAAAACGAATCAAATATTAGTTTATTCACTTCTTTTTATTCACAGTAAATAAATTAACATAAATATTAAAATTAAATTTGCAAAAATAATTACTGTAAAAATTGATTAGAGGTTAATATACCGGTAGAAGACATCGTTTGTATAGTGAGGAATAAACGGAGAAGTGGCAGGAAATATTTTATCCTCGTAATATTGTCTTTATTGTTACGAAAATTATCATTATCGAGTGGCTTTAGAGTCCATTAGTTACTTGGTGAAAACCTAGTTATCGTATGTCCTCTAGTTCGGTAAGTCTCGTTTCTGTCGCAGAGAGATAGAAGGCTAAAAATTTGCATATATGTGTAAATCTTGGAAATTACACCAAGTACCGAAAATTTGCATAAGTGGCGGTGCCGACGCTTTTCTCCTTCTTATTTTATTATCTTTGGCTGCAGACCTAAATCAGAAATGTATACATATCGCGAGACATATAAATTCTGACTCATTGTCAGGATTCAGGTACGACGATAAGACGCTACGTATCGCTTTTAACATTGCGTCATAATTATCTCGGCTGCGTCATCGCCGACGAAAGTCGGCGTTCGAACGAAAGAGAGTTCGAACATAACTTATCTTTCATTTGCGAAAGCTATGAAAATCGTACGCAAGTATGCGAAATAAGAACTGATGATAACGATAATTCGTTTAAACGAGCTATATTTATTATGCATTTATTAAATATAAACATTAATTTTCAATTTTATATCTGTACTATCGCAATCATAATCGATAATATATTGTATGAATTGGAGATTATTATCCATTATTTACAATTAGTGCCAAAAATGCATATGTTTATAACGCATTCATTATACATACAATATACATATACAGTACTAACCCTAGGTATACACTTTGGGATCTTCAAAACCCCAGATAAAGTTTGAAACTCTACCATTGGTAGAATGAATACCTAAGTAGAAGGGATACAATCATCTTTTAAAAAAGTTTGCAGTTTTTTCAATAGCTAACAACTGCCGAAGAAATTAATTGTCTGTCGGTTTTGTAATAATTAACACCTAAAATAATTCAGGTGTCTCTTGGACCCCAATGTATTTTGCACAACTTTTTTTGCAAGTAAGTATATTTTCTAATTTATTTTATTCGAGTATGTAAACATATAATCAAAACAATATCTGATTATAATAATAAAGGCTCACAAGATTACAAATCAATCGAAGAAAAATGGAGCGTCGTTGAGCCGTAACAAGGTGTTGGTGTTCGTATATTCTATACTTAAGTAAAGAAGTAACGAATTATAATGTACATACTGTACATACATATATTCCAACTTTATAGACTGCGCGCCGCAAATTTGTCGGACTTGAAACACAGCTACCTTGGAACATTAATATACCCTTCCCTCCCAGGAATTAAATCGAGACGATTTAATTGTTTAAAAAACTGTAAAAAATTTATTGCGAAAAATATTACCTCAGCCAGGATTCGAACCTGGAACCTCCCTCATTCCGTGAAGGGCGTCTTTTTCGCAATAACCGGTTAATAATAATAAACTTGAAGAAACGCATATCTATGCCCGCGTATATAATATCTGTGATTATATTTTTATCATTTTTTAAATTTAAATATTGTTATCGGCTTTTCTAAATTTGAGCACGAGATCGTTATAGAACGGTTAGAACATAAAGTATACCAATAGTTTACACTTGTATATTGTTCTAGATAAATAATAGAAACTCGTAACTGTAACGAGGTAAGATGCTCAACATTTCATACCATATTTTTAGAAAATTTATGATGCGACGATTACAATATAATGAGGTTACATCTGTATGAACACTCATTGAGAGAACGTGTTTGGCACCGAATATTCGGATGATAAAATGTGCGACGTACAAGAGATAATGCAAAAATGGGAAAAAAAAATAAGATGCGAGTTTTTTGTCCACGTGGCAAGTGACAAGGATAAAAAGACTTAATTTGCATGCCCGCAGTGCAAAGGTCCTCGATCTTTGTTATGTTGTACTCAATGCACTGAACAGATGACGTAATCTATATGTGAATGATTGTTCTTTTTATTTCTTATATTTTATATTCTTTATTCTTTTTATAAATAAAAAATGCATTATATCATTAAGTTTGTATATTGTTTAACAAAAATCCTAACTTTTATACCTGTATCTGCAAAACCGCCAGAAAATAGAAATGTAAAAATTCATCGTTCTTGGAGCCTTGTAATTTTGATAATAATATTTTAATATTTACGCAACAAATTTCTTTTGTACTTTGAAATATGCCCTTTCAAGAACTGAAAAGTTTTCTTGATTATCTCTATTAGCAAGAAAGATATGAATTTTTCAAGCAATTATGATAAAATAACGTACGTTTTCTTTGCATTTATGAATATAGTTACAATTTTTCAACACGTGTTTAATAATATTTAGAATATTTCTGAATAAATATACATATTTTTCAGTTTATTTACTATATGCAAGAAAAGAAGTCAAAATATGGTAACTTTCTAGAGTATAATGAAAAGAGTAGCAGAAGTCCTCCAAACCCCAGTGTGATGTCTACGTGTGCGAAAAATAAATGTGCATACCTAAGATTAAAAGATATCTTATTTCTGTGAGTTCTCAAATCATTTCTAAAATTTTGTAACAAGTTATTTATAAAACTCTAAAGTTATTCGTAAAAGATTGTCGGCTAAAGTAAAATTGAATTAAAAATTCAAATTTAAATATTTAATAAACAATATTTAATTAAAATAAATTGTCGTGTTCTCATTCATGGATTTGATACTATCAATTGCCCGCGATCACTTTCCAATTAAGAAAAAGGAGAAACTTACTCCCAGACGTCGGTTTAAACCGAGTCTCCTGGCGGCCGAATGGAAGACCAGGAATTCACGCCACAAGCTCAGATAGGAGGTCCTCTTGGCAGGACGTGACATCCCCAGATAAACAGATTCTGCGATCCACGAGCACACCACCCGCCGTCCCCATGGGTCATCCACCCCGTCACGAAATCGGCTGACCCGACGGATTAGCCTTGTCCCGGACGCTCCAGGACTAACCCCGCGAAGACGGCGCGACTAGCGAACGGCCACTGAAAGGATCCTCGGCCACCCTGAACTCGCCGATCCGACGTCCACGTGCCACCGAGGGTAGTGGTGGTGATAGCGATTAGTATACGTAATAACGACCTTGGCATCAACCTCGCCGAGTTGCGTGACGCCGTGGTGATCGTTCTGCTCGCAATGTTCCGGTTGCATCGGTTCTGCTTGCGTCGACCTCGATAACGTTACCATTGTCCCGATAAATTGTCTCTTGATTTTCGTATCGAAGGAGCGCTCTAGTTGAAAATGATTTACTCCTAATACCTACCAACGGACAGGTTATAACTTTTGTAGACGAGAATGCTTCTAATTTGATCTTTTCGTAATTATAAATAATTATATAATTTCTTTTCTTCAACGAAGATATTAGAATTTTATTTTTTTTGTTATTGTAATTATATAATCTTTCTTCTTTTTCTAGTTATTTTTGGTATTAAATAAATAACTTTGTTTTTTTTCTTCTCTTTCTCTCTCTATTTTTCTCTTTTATCTTTTCGTTTTCTTCTCAATTTTCTTTTTTTCTTTTTAAATTAAAATCTACATTTTTTACAATCTTTTTCCTTTTCTTACTTCCTTTCCTTCTTTCTTCTCCTATTTCAATTCTTTTCTTCTCTTTTACTTACCTTTCTCTTCTTTCTTTCGATTGAAAATCTAGGTGAGATACACATTGGCACGCCTCGTTTCAGTTACATTTCTCTTTACGGCCGTACGACTTTTGGCCTTTCACGGCTTTCACACAAAGGCGTATAAACAGTTGAGTACTATCAAGGCCACAGATAAGATTCCGTTAGTAATGGCCGGCGATCTCCGACCGCCGGACTTCCGGTCATCGCCTGCAGTGGCCAATTACTCTCGCAGTTTATTTAGATTAACGTCTATGTGATATCATTCGCAACTGAGCCGAGAGTTTTTACGCGATTTTCGCGATGTTAACAACATCTACCGAAGCGATCTTGCTTTACCTGAACGAAGTCGAGGATTGTCTCAACTCTTTCTTGACTGATAGAATTCCTTTAAATTAATTAGATTAATTTAATTTAACTTTATTTAACGCAGAGTTATATCATCTTTCTTCGGAGCTACTCTTTTTGTTCTATAATCATAAACATTTGGTTAAGTTCCAAGAATTAAACCGACACCTGCAGCTGATTTTCGCCGTTGCAAGACACCGATATAAAAATATCTTAGCCGTATCGTTTTCAGAATTCGCGATTAAGGCCACAGCCGAAAGATTCGCCAGTCAAAAGCTATTTGTTATTTCAAGTCCCTCGATTACCCGCACAGTTCCCTCCTGGCGTTCTAGTTCGTACGGCCGTTAATCGGCATTACGGCGATATCGTGAGTTCGCGTGCAGATAAAACCGCGACAATTAGCATACGTGAGGTCAGCCCGATGGACACCGGAGTACGTCATAGCTGCAGTTTCTTGCACCCGTATAACGATCGGTTTGCGACGGACGCGCGCCGCAGGAAAGCTCGCGGAAGTCGCATAATTACACGTGTCAATGTATGAAAAACGCCACGGTGTTGTCTCCACCGCGAAGAAAAAAATTTCTAATCATTCGCCTAAAGAGGTGCACGATGAGTTTTGCGCGTCGTACCGCGATACCAGCGGATGCCCTCTTCAGACTCTTAAGAATCGAGCCCATCCATCATCTTCAAGCGTTATAACGAAGTGCGCGAGTTCATTTGAGAGGCAAATATCTCTTCGTCACTCTAATCGGAAAATTTATTTCTGGGATTATTTACGACTTCTCATGTTGCGGCGATCGAGGCAGAATAATGCGGCTCGATCTTTCAATCTCACGCGCGTCTACTTCTTTGAGATAAAACGAAGATTGACACGTGTTCGGATGCCTGGTTTCCTTCGAGCTGTCTCCTTAAAATCTAACGCGAAACAGCGTCCCGGGAGACTGTTTTAGGTCACATAAGCCTGCATCTGCATCCGATATCCAGTCCAGAAGTGCAATTTAATGAAAATCGTAAAATTTATAAGTGAAAAACCAGATAAAACGGAAAAAATTAAATAAATTAGATAAAATAATCGATTCGCTTGCAAGAAAATATCGATCGTGCATGGTCTTATTATCTATAGTTATACAGTTTAGCTACAACGATTTTTAAACGCCACTGTTCTTCAGTATTATTACCTATACGTGACTTATCATTAATATCTAATATTTAAATTGTTGATCTAATTTAATACTTTAATATTTACGTGACAATAATAAAATATTATTTATTATTATTTGTCTAATTTTAACATTATTGATATTAAAACTGAATTTTTTTCTTTGGTTACTTTTCGATACTTTTTTTTATCGTTACAAAGATCAAAATACAGCTTACTGCTAAATTCGCTAGTATATATATGGAAACGTTGACACGCGTTGCACGCGCATTCTTAGTCGGCGGAAGGACAAAGCGATGAGGTACTTGACAGCGCGCGACGGTCATGTGAAAAGAGCGGTAATGACTCGGCGATGACGATGACGATCCTGTTTGTGCCGCTTAGCTTGGGAAAACGTGAGATGATTCATCTGCTTTTGGCGGACGACAAATCAGAATCGTGTCTGTGTCACCGAACTCGCGTTTCATCTCACATCTTGTCTGTTCGAATTTACAACTTAAATATATCGTTTATAATAAAAATAAATAAATGTATTATTTAACCAATTATTTTATAGTAAATAGATATAATTTTTTTGTGTGAAATTAATTAGCACGAAAAAATTACTGAATTTATCTTTCTAAACTTTGTCGGGTTTTTATAATAGTAATATATATATATATATATATATATATATATATATATATATATATATA